GAAAACAAGGTCAAACAACTTCTATGCAACGAAAGGAAACTGCGACCACACAAAAGGCCACACCATCTTGATCTTAATACCTTCAAATGAGAGTTAAAGTTTTTCACAGTGTAATAAGTAACTTAACAATGCCGTTGAATTTCGTATAACTTTGCCTCCTAAAATGTGTCAGGAGAGCACTTTGATTGGACACCAGTAGAAAGCGTAGCTGGTTTAGAACATTACAGAAGGTGGGTTTCGACTAGATAGGTTTATGCAAAAGTAAAGAGCCGCACCTGCGATAATGGCATGTGAAGCAGCAGTCAGGAGGGGGACTTGCAATCAAGACCAGTGTCCATGGCGGAGTGAATAAATTTTATCGTATGTCCGCGATGGGTATGCAAAATTGACGGTTCTTCGACCAGCCTTAGGTTTTGATTAAGACAGAAAGTGTGGCTGGAAGTAAAAATGTGTGCAAGAGTGTCAAAATATGCAGGTAGACTAATGCGGAAAAAACTACAAGGGGCTGACAATAATGGAATCATCGGTAGGACAAATGTTTAGGCACCAAGTCTGAAAGTGTAATCAGTCTCGTCAGCCCAACTCATCCACTCAAAACTGTTAATTAAATTCTAGTTAAGAGAAAATAAGGCAATGTTGAGTGGCGGGAGAGAAAAATGTGACCCTTCAATTAAGATTTAGGCAATGGATGGCTTCAAAGTATACTGTCAATCGGATTCGTACATTTGCCCCATTGGAAACTAAAATGAAGACGGCTTTATAGTTTCGACTGTATATTTGTGCGAATAAACCCTCGGCACCTCAATCTATTAGTGCTCTGCTGCCCCGAATAGCCTGTAGCATAGTTCCCTGTTTTCTCGATATCCGTCATATAACAGGAGAAAGCACAAAATGTATTCAACTGGTTTAGCGGGACGATGAGCCAAGGACCTATTCGCACAAATCTACATTCACAGCTCCAATACAATCATTCCTCAGCTTCCAATGAGACCAATTTACGAATCCTTCGACTCGCCTCTTCAAAGAAAATGAACTATACGTCAACATCAATCAATTAAGGGATATTTCGAAACCCAGCCTTTTTCCTAATTTGGGAAGCATACCTGGGAGTAATTTCCTAAATAGGAGAAAGCGAAGTGTGAACAGAGATTGGCGTCAATTGTTATCTGCTAAGGCAGTAGCTATGCCTGAAATTAATGAACGCTGGCCTCTATTTCTCTAGTGCTCTAAGGCATTTAATTCAATATTATAATTCATATTTTAAGCTCGCCTATATTCGTATATATTTATTTTCGAAAATTCCAGGAAATTTAAATGAGTATTATAAATCTAATTTTACCCTTCCTACTCATAAACTAAAAATAATATACCTAATATTTATGAATGTAATTCCGTATAGCAATTTGCTTTTTCGACCATCCCACTACCAAAAAATGTGATATGGGAAGTGTCATCGTGATATATGTTACGGAATTTTTATAATAAACGATTTACTACTCGGCTTGATATCTCGCTAGTAGTGCTGATTGGACTTTTTCGCCTTCGAAACTAAAGTTCACCATAAGAAATAATGCCTTTTTGGGAGCATGGCTATGTGAAATTTAGTGAAAAATTGTGGGAAGATTCTATTATCCGCCTTCTATCACCTTATGCTACCCAGGGTCATTACTGCCCTTGGGTAAATTTTACATATTAATAATTGCTCTTTATTTTTCCTAGCAATTTATCAGGTAAAGAGAGTACGATACATAGACAAATCTTTACAAACCAAGTAAAAATACAACTTTCTGGTCAATGCTCACCTAATCCCATAACAATAATTTAATCAAGTGCCAGGCTTGCCACAATTGTACACGACAGCCTGCAGTTCGCTCTCCTTGCATGCGTTCGTTTTTGGCTCATGAAGAGATATACATGTAAAGTGGATGGCATCTGGTGCTCGAAATTGTTTCTCGAACCAGAGTACTTAACTACTTGGTACTAGATATGGTGTCATGATCAAGCCAATAATGAGAAGTCACAGTGAGTCAATTTTGCCTATACGAGTTTGATAACATAACAGTTGGTCATAATTTTTTATTTAATGTTTTAATACCGCTTTCAAAACCTGTTGGTGTCTGTCACGGCATTATAGATGAAAATTCGCCACTTATTAATTGGGGTCGCAGGATTGTGTGCTAAGTATGTCTTCACACCAATCCGTGCTTATAACTACATGGCAATCTTGCTTCGAACTCCGGTGAGGACAATGTACGAATCCCGTTCATCCACTTTTACATATGAACTAAACGAAACCACAATACAGATTTGTCCATAATCCAGCATCAGCCACGGATTAAGCGCTTATTTTCATGTAATAAGTAAATCGGTTCCACTCTCGACTTCAGACCATGCCTCATCTCCTACTCCGTTTCAAGTCGTCTCTGTCCAACTTGGCCTCCCTTCTGCTCGGCTCACCTGGCAACCACGCGAATGCTGCCCTTCCACTCGGCCAGCTCATCCTTTAGCTCTGTCACTTGAGCCCGCCAGCCTCTTGTTTGACTGGATCCGTCCACCAGAAGTTGCAAATTAGCCGCTTTCAGCTCAGCCTCCTGCAGACGACTCCTCAATTGGGCCAATAAACAATTTTTAGCAGCTCCACTTCGCTCAGCCGATTCTGAGAGCTGCCGGAATCGGGCCGCTCGTTCTTCAGCCTGCAGCGCGCGGACCTCCACTGAGGCAAAACGTTCCTGAGCCGAGGATAGGCTTCCTTTTAAGTGCTCATGTTCTTCACGCAACTGTAGGTGCATGTGTTTAGGCAATAGCATGTAAAGTGATTCTTAAATGACAAAATTAAGAATGGAATTTCTCAGCAATTTATTCCTTTACTATATGCCCAAAAATGCCTTTGCAATGTTAATACGAATAAGTTATACTAATTTATACCCATTTTTATCCATCATCCCATTTGGTAAAGGTTGGCCTAACACAAAATGCTTCTAACCACTATTAGTTATATCCCCTAGATAGATTTTAATACTAATGAAGAAGAATTTTATACACTCTAGGCCGTGTCTGATAAAGTTAATACACACTGTAAGGTCTCAGAAAAGGTATTTTACCAGACTAGACTCGTAAAAGTGGGTTGACCTCGTTGTCGCAACTTGGTCTTGTTGTCAGGGCGACTATGTAGAACGCACCTAGT